CAAGTAAAATGTTCTTACTCCACTGGCAGAAATGTTTGACTTAATTTGAGTCAAATTTTCAGGCTAACAAGACAAATTTGTAGTGTAAGATTTCCCAGATGGAAAGAAATAAAAACACTGTTAGCTTGCAGGGAAGGTGTTTTTCCTCAAAATCTGTTTTTTTTTCCGTTGCTACTGCTCAAAAAATGCTTCGATTTTTTTTAGGATTATATTTCAGCCAGTTCGTTCAAATGATACACTGATAAGACATTAATTCATTATATTTTGACAAAATGCAATTCATCAAAACCCCACATTTGCCCGTTTTTCCCCATTCCACTTTAATTGGTTCATTTTAATGTGACGGGTCACATTTATCAACACACACACAGGCCACACAGTTACCAGCTGTGCTTTTACTGGTGCAGTCAACATGTGGCGTGTGTTTGGTGAAAAGAGCTGTTTTTCTGCTCAGCAGAAACTCTGCTTTGTTTCTGTTTGCAGTGTCACAAGCACAGGTCCGAGCCAGTCCAAACACCGTCCTCTGCAGTCTGAGGAGTGACTTTAAAATATAGGACAAAGACCACTTATTAAAGTCTGTGAGCTGCAAACACTCAGGCTGCAGCAGCACAGCAGTAATCCTTCACTGGGGGATTTACTGCAGGAATAAGGTTTAGAGAAGCTTAATGCTACAAGTTAAAAAGATACTGAGCTTTCCGACTTGGACAAGAAACATCTGAGCTTAGATTTAATGTGTCAAACTCAAAGCCCGCAGGCCAAATGTGGCCCAGCACAGCATTTCATGTGGCCCACGAGAGCTTCAAAATAAAATAAGATGCTTTAAAGCCAGCATTGAACATAAACTAAACTTATTTAGTAGATGATTTCTTTGTAACAATGCACACTGAGTAAAAGAAGATAAAAAATCTTATGTTTCGATCTCTAAACTGTTCATTTACCAAGGAAATTGTAACATTTAAGGCGCTTAGTTTAACATTTCATAAATAAAACTGACACTACTGAGGAAAAGCCATAAAGAGTTATTAAAATACCAGTTCAGACATGTCAAATCTAACTTTCTAACCTGTAAACCTTGAATGTTTCTACTGCCATGTATCTACAGGGTACTTACCCAAATCTCATTGTTGTCTCTCTAGCTGTGTTTCCATTACAAATGTGCAAAACTTTGTTGATATTCTGTTAATGTCGAAAAACACAGTTTCGCAACTGCAGTGTTTCCATTTAGGGGTGTAAGAAAATATCGATACACTGAAATATCGCGATATTTCATTTCCCGATACTGTATCGATATTCTAAAGCCTTGTATCGATTTTTTATTAAGGTTTAAAATGTCAACTTTC